TCATTTCATGTAACTTGCTCAGTCAACCTTGAAAAGTCCAACGTCACTTTTCAATTTAGTTAACTTAGAATGCTGTTCGTTTATATCTTTGTGTTTATCAAACTAAAATGGAATGCTAAAACAAACAAAATTAATCGTGACTTGCAGAACTTTTTTATAAGCGCTTCATTATTCAAGAGGATTCACCTTTAAATAAAGTAGATTTTCAATTTTTCTATTTATTAAAGAAAGTTGTCTCGTTCAGCAAATATTCGTTTATATAGTGTTTAATACGAGATACACTCTACCCTCTAATCCTAGCGAGACAACGTGTCCGCACGCTCTTGATCTTCATCTCGGCAAGAGTTTCCACAGTGACGCAAGGAATATAATTTGTGTAGAGTTATTCCAAAAGTTCTATTTCGGTGTACCGCGGCTCTCACCTATAATACATGCAAAACGACGCGCAGAGCTCTACGAGTGAGTAGTGTGGCAGACAAACTAACAAAAAAGTGTCCAGTTCAACAGGAAAATCCATAAACCATTGTTTTGAAAGTGTAACAACTGTACCACAATAGAATGACTGTGTAAAATGAAGCGAAACGTGAGTATAACGTGATGATCGTATAAACGTTAAAAATAAGTTGATGAAAATATCGCATTTGTAGATGGTAATACTAATTTCAGTGTTGCTAGTGTGTACGATATTAATATTTTGTACAGACATTGACCGTTTATTCCTAAAATTGTTTTGTCTAGTTAGTACTCAATATATTTATAATACAGTACGGTTTAGAATTTTAAAATACTGCATACTGTTTGATTTTCTGTCTCGCACTAGCGAATTTGAACTGAAATGAGTAATCAAACAGCGCGTCTCGCTGCATACCTAGTCTTCATTATCCGGCTGTATTGTCTATTTACGTCAATTTGTAAACATAGTTCAATCAAAGACAAATGACAATATTTACTTATATTGTTCGTTTTCTTTTTATACAATTTTTTTTTGTTTTATTCATTGGCAGTCTTGCTCATATTGTTCCTTTTTTTTTGCTCCCTGAGAAATATAATAATTTACTATATTTCTTGTATTCTAAGTTAATATTATAAGGTAAGTAGGTGACAGAACAATAAGTTGAATTATTTTTCAGTTCATTAAAAAGTTTTCATTTTGAGAAATTATTGTTTTGTCTATAAATAAATTACTAATCAATTTTCAAATAGTTCAAAACAGTTGTAATGATTTGTATCAAATCTTGTACCTTAAGCCTTTTCTGTTTTTGTATCGAATCTTGTACCTTTATAGTATTTTGCTGTGCAATTTTATTTATAAGTATTATTAATTGATATAGATCGTCTAGACATTATTTGTTATATTAAAATTCACTTATATCCGTTCACACGAGGTTTGCACATCCAATTTCTTAACTGGTGCCATATATACACTTTGATACACGCAATTCTTGATCCCCTCCCTCCGATAGTACATATTCAATTTCATATTCATTGATGAAACGTTCAATTAATCATTAGTAACCAAAATGAGTATTGTATAGTGGACTATTTGCATGCCTTGCATATTTATAATGCACTAGCTGCACCCGCGACTTCGTCCACGTGGAATGTAAATTTATTTTTCTAAAATATAAGTAGCCTAAGTTCTTATTACATCGGCTACCTGATAATAAAAGTCCCGTCGAATTGGTCCAGCCATTTCAGAGATTACCCGGAACAAACAGACAGACAAGCAGACAAAAATAGTAAAAAATGTTATTTTGGTGTAATTACCATATTTATATTCCTATGTATGTAGTAAAAAAACGGTTATTTCAATAGTACAGACAGACACTCCAATTTTATTTATTTGTAAAGCATTAGTCGTTTAGTATTCATTCCTTTCTCCTCATATGGAATGGGTCATCGACATTCGCATGCCAATACTGATGCCAAATAGCAATCAGCTGATTAACAGTAGTATTTTTACGGAGCTATGAATTGTATAAAATCATTACATAGTATAAAACAAATTCCATGTCTGTCCGTCCCTATGTATTTTAAATATTTAAAACTACTCAACGGATTTTGAAGCGGTTTTTATTTAATAGATAGAGTGATTCAAGAGGAAGGTTTATATGTATAATACATGTACACCCGGGCGAAGCCGAGGCGAGTAGCTAGTGTGTTATAATTAGTACTTGATGATGTCAACTAATGGTATGGTGTAGATATTATAGATTTTGCTTGCTTCCTTGAAGTTATTTGGTAAAGTTAAATTGCAATGTTGGTAAGTGAACATAAAAAGTAACTTGTCTCGATCAATTTCAAATTTGAATATCGTTCGTTATACAGAGGGAAAGATGCCTGTGCGCTGTTTTAATTACGAAGTTTGTGAGCTCAACTAATCTATACATCGATCCATATGAATAAAATTGAAGTGTCTGTTTGTACTACTACGTGCATGAATATAAATACGGTACAACATTTTTTACAATTGTTGTCTGTTTGTCTGTCTGTCTGTTCAGGCTAATCTCTAAAATGGTTGGACCGAATCATATGTATACATTTTTCACATTTTCATATGTATTTATTGAAAAGTTATCCATTTGAATTACAAACAGACATTTCAATTTTATTTATTTGTATAGATGTATATAATTATATAAACTCGGTCACATACTACGTACTCCCGTGAAAAACTGAGTAACGTTGCTAGTCAATATACAGGCGACAGCCTCGGTGGTTTAGGGGTCTGGCACACCGCTTTACTTCCGATGGTTGCGGGGTCGATTCCTCGCACAGTACAAATATTGATATTCATGAGTATGATAGAAAAAAAGGATATATACATCATATGAGTAAAAGTATAGAGTGAAAAAAAAAATGTATAAATAATTTGGTACTTAAAAGGGATGATTATACCCTCTCGAGAGCTATTAATAAATTATAATTGTGTTTTGGTCATCCCGTGTGTTTGTTCGGTGTTTCCATTTATCAAAATTGTATATGGACAGCTGAAGGAGAATTTAAACATGCAACTTAATTACTATTGTCTTGGCAATCCGTATAAATTATGTGGCAGATGATTCATGATTTTTATCTAGATATTGTTTATTCTTTATTTCAGCATCAGGCCATTTCATCTTAAAATGTTTACTAGTGTGTACTCTAGGACACTTTTTAACAGCGCCATCTAGTCCCATTTTGTGAACCTCGGTGGTCTAGTGGTTTAGCACACCGTTTTGCTTCTGATGGTCGCAGGTTCGATTCCTCGCACGGTACAAACATTTGTATTTATGGGTGTTTTCTATTTATGTAAGTACAAAAGAAAGTATCTATGTATATATGTATATTAGTTGTCTAGTGTCCATAACATAAGCTCAGCTTAACTTGGGACTAGATGACGCTGTGTTGTCCAGGGGTAATATTATTATTATTAACAAGAATAGTGACATGGTAAATAAAGGTACTAGTTACCTCTCTCAATCTACTTAGCTAGTGAAACCTAGGCCAAACGTTTTAACATAAAATTCGTTCGTGTTAACAGTCGAATAATATAAATAATACGTGTGTACATTATCCTTGATCATGCTATTTCTGTGACAGGTTTAATATTCGAGAAATAATTTATTTCATTGGATACATAATATAAATATGTATATATTTTTTATTATCTATGTAATGTCAACTTGGAAAGGGAGAGGACGACCTGGCTGGATGGAAAAAAGATGAATAGATTGTGTGAAAGATGATATAAATAAAAGGAGAGTATGCTCAGAAATGACGGCTAATAGGGATCAGTGGAACAGGAGGACATAAAGCGTCGACCATAAGTAATGGCATAAAGGCAAGGCAATGAATGCATTTTATTACTTACTAGCTTTGCCCGTGATTTTACCCGCAAGAAATTTATAGCCTATATGTTATTCTGATGTCTAACCTATATTAGTGTAAAGTTTCAACAAGAGCCGTTCAGTAGATTTTGCTCGAAAGAGTAGTACTCACAAACTTTCGCGTTTATAATATTATTAAGATGTATCTGCGACCAGCCAATTAGCTTTTATCAGATTTGCTTATTTCTGTTGTTTTGGTTGTGTCGTTTATATACATCACCGTAGTCAGTAATAAAATATTGTAATGCTTCTATATACACTTACTTTATAATCATGACAATATTTTATTATTAATTAACTGAGCCCGTGAATTCGTATCTGTATAACTGTTTGGTTTGGAAACCAATTGCAATAAAATAAACACGACATTTTAAGTGAAGCTTATCATAATAATTAGTGAAAACCACACACAGATCGATCGAGCCATTCAGCCGTTGAGATTAGCGAGCACAAACGCAAATACAAACAGATAAACATTCTAGTTATCATTTTTTTAGTTTCTATTATAATATATAAAGAGTCACAATAGTTTTTTCATATCCTTCATGAACAGACAAAAATGAGTTATTATATTTTTATTATTAATAGATTTTATGATCAACTACACACGGATGCTTACAAATCTTTGAATTTCTCGGCTTGTTCTACACTATAACACGCATGGATTATACTTATAAATTTTCCTCTTGAATAACTCTATCTATTGCTGAAAACTGCATTAAAGTCCGTTGCGTAATTTAAAAGGTATAAGCTAGCAGACACCGGTGGCGGTTTTATACGATGTAAAGGTAATTTTTTCAGTGCACTAAAGAATTTAGACAATTTAACTCCTAACTAAAAACTTAGAATATTCTAGAAGGAGTTCCAGAGTTCTAGACGGACGTAGAAAGCGACTCTGATTTCCAAAAAGCTCACAGGACGCAGGCGCTATGACCCTACCCCGTACCATAAAACGTGCCGCATTATATATCGCTTTAGATTACTTTACAACTCGCCACTGAACTTACGACGCGAACATTGACCGTCGTGTGCGTGGTACAGGGTCCATCTGCGATCTCTCGAATGTTCTTGCAGTGTCGAGAATTGCGAAGTGGCGGCGTCTGTTGTATAAATACGATTGGGTAGCACCGATCCCTTCAGTATAGAGACGGATACGGTAACGAACTGTTATTCTCGATTAGTTTATACCACGATTTACACGTACGCACCGAGGTGAAGTGATTATTTGTGATACATTCCAGTGTGATTAAAATGGAATCTCCAGTTGTATTGGATAAGCCACCTGAATATCATGGGAATACAGCGAGGAATAACGAGGTAAGGCATGTAGATAGTTAGTAATTAACGAGATTTTTTTTTAAGTTTGAAGATAATTACGAAAAACACTGAAAATGTCATTAGTAGTATTTCGTCAATAAATCGTGAATAATAATATTATTTACTATGTATTTGATTTTATTTGGCATTGTCTTGAAGTTATTTTAAATTTTGTTCCATTCAACTAAAAGTTCTCTTTATGATTAAGGAAATGTATTACGGGATACTTATAAAATAATCGGAATTTGCCAATATATCGTGTAATATAATTATTAGTAAACACAACATTAAAAAATATAAGTAGAGAGATTTTTTGTAAATCGGTTGAAAATAGTGAGTTAAATATTTAAACACATTTTTTTTTTGTATATTTTTGCATACAGATTAAAATTTACCATTCCCCCCTGTACTTATGTCATCGGCTAAAATCGGTCCAGCCGTTTCAGAGATTATTAGCAAGAACAAACAGATTTTTTTTAAATATTTTATTGTAGGACCGTTTATAGTTTCATATGCAACCGAACATATTCTAGTTCAAGTAGGCACAAAATTAGTCGAAGGAAGTAGTAAGCTTCAGTGGGAACCCGGAAAGATGGGCACGCTTTAGAGTGGGCCACTGCCATCAGGTTGCGGTGGTCCATCATTTGGATCCCGCGGCTCTGGCATATGGTGTTGGATGAGATACATTACATACATAGCAGTTTTTAGTGAATAGGAGTATAACAGTACCCGCTTGCCTCCCGCGGGCCTGCTCTAAGCAAAATAAAAAAATATATAAAATTAACCAATTTCAAATTAGTCACTATAAGTTTTTTGCTCCAAGTGAAATAAAATAAAAATTACTAAATTAGCAAATTTTCAGCTGTATATTTACGTCGCATTTAGAATTGGAATATCAGTGAGTTGTTTAGCAAAGAATTTTCCTAGTAACACTTTGGAAGTGTTCCAAATTAGAGTATGGTCATGATGATTGTAGCGGTTTTGCGGTGATACCTATTGCATTATGAGCACTAAGGGCAAACTTTGATCTTGAAATTAAAAATATCGATTGTTTCATTTGTTAGTCATTAGATAAATAATATAATAAAATAATATAACATACAATAATTATATAAAAGTACTCTGTAGACTTTACACTTTCTTCTTACCTTACTAATATTATAAACGCTAAAGTTTGTGAGTACGGATGGATGAATGTTTGTTGTCTGTTCATTCACGTAAAAACTACGATGAAACTTTACAATAAAAATGAAGTCGCTTCCGCTGTCTTTTCGCTTAGATTTTTGTAATATGTACAATTATTTTTAAATTCAACATAATACTTATTCTTGAAAATAACAAATAATTAAACTAGATGACGCTGTGTGAATTGTCCACGGTTATTGGTATTATTATTTAAACTATTTTAATTGTTTATCATATACTTTCAAAGTATATACATACTAGCAGACTCGGCCACACTGTGGCTAAGGTTAAATAATATTGCGATATAATAAGGTTATAAAATTGGAGTGTCTGTATATATTGAAATAACCGTTTTTTTTAGTACATTCATATGAATATAATTACGGTGCATACACCAAAATAACATTTTTTGTCTGTCGATCTGTTTGTTCCGGCTAATCTCTGAATTGGCTGGACCGAATTTTTTTTGGTAGGTAGCTGATGTAATAAGGAGTAACTTAGGCTACTTTTATTTTAGAAAATAAAGTTAAATTTCACGCGGACTAAGTCGCAGGAACAGCTAGTTTATATATGTATAATATACATTTGAAAATGTGACAAAATAATTCGATAGCTAAAACGGATCTGTACATTATGTAGACAATGTAGTGTCGAACCATTTATTTACCTGATGTTGTACAACTATACACGAAGCCATGTCAACATCTGACGTCACGTGCGTGGTTCATGAGTCACTGGTGGCGAGTCGATACCCGTGCAGCTGTTACTGCCATTTATAGTCGGCGTCGCTTTTTTCCCTAACACCGGTATGTTAAAATACCAACATACGATTTATAGAAAAAAAATTATTAGTACGAGTAGATAGCAAAAAAGCAATTATCATGATGATCAAATTGTAGGTATCAGTGTTCAATTTTGACGTTTTGATTGTGATTTTTTCAAATAAATGTAATGACTTGAAAGTGATTGGAAACTGGTAAAGTTTGGTTTCAAACCAGTCCTCAGTCGTGACGTTTTGATTGATAACTGAAATAGATAAGATTGAGTTAACCATGCAGACGAATCGGTCAATATAATAATAATAACTCCAGAACCATCACATAGCGCCATCTAGTCCCAAGCTAAACAGAGCTTGTATTATGGGTATTAGATAACGGATGTAAATACACAGATACATTTTTTGTCAATATATATATCCGTAGCCTATGGACGCCTAAAAGACCAGAGATGTTCCACCAGGGAGTTGAGCGTTGCCGACCCTTAAGAAACCTTAATATATCCTTCTTGAAAACCCCCATGCTGTAGTCTCTCGAGAAAACATCGGCAGGTAGTTAATTCCGCAATCTAAGTGTACGTGAGAAGAAACTCCTCTAAAACCTTATCTTATTAATATACATAGAAAATACCCAAACCAATACACACAATCATACTCATGAATACAAATGTTTGTACTGTGCGAGGAATCGAACTCGCGGAAGTAGTACGGTGTACTAAACCACTAGACCACCGAGGTCGTCAATATATATCTATTGAGATCGCTTATTGAATTATTAAGGGTAATATTTTAACGAAAATAAATGGATTAGTTAAAGATGTTTCCGCGTAGATATGAACCCACTTCTGTTTCATGTTATCCGTTAAGAGCAGTCTGTACTAAATATAATCTAATATTAACTTAGGTAGAGCATTGATACGGCTGCCTTCTATTTATCGTACATTCACATGTGAATCATGCAAATGTACTACGAGATCAACTATAATTCATGGGCCTCGGTGGTATAGCGGTTTACTTCCGATGGCCGCGGGTTTGGTTTTTCGATATGTAATACAGATAGATAGTACGAGACATCTCTTACTATACTTACTTCTCTTCTCTTTTTATATATGATAGAGTGGCCTATACCAAAATTTTTCGTTTAATTTTTTGCACATAATTTTTTTTTATTACGTGACGTTAAAAATACGTACATACACTCCTAAATATTCACCCTTCTGCCACCAATATCTGTTTTCTAATAGCAATATTAATTTATATTATATATTTATAGCAAAACAACATTTACCTTGTCACCTAATATATACGTAATAGTACGAGATGTTAAATAGAATATTAAATTGATATAATAAAAATAAAATTCTGTTGATTTTCATGCCAGTTCTTCTCAATTGAATCTGTGTACTAAACTGGACGGTAGGGAGAAAATATTAATACAAAAAACTTGACGTTCATGAGCAGCTAAAATGTCCTACATGAATAAATGACTATTTATTTTGATTTACGTAACACTAAGATTATTTAGTAACTAATTATAGATATTAATACCATTATATGAGTAAGGGTTTGCGAGGGTTATTAATTAAGTTATAAAATCCATCACACAAACGCCTATGTGCAACTCTTCTCCATTTCATCATCTGCCACCCTTCCTTCTCTTTCCGTCTCTAGGATACCACTCTATTTTTCGACTCCATTTTTCGCTTGTGTCACCATGTCATCATGTGGCCAGCTCATCGCCACTTCTGCTGGTCTATTTTTGTCAATATGTCTGTCAATTTCGTGCTCAACCTAAAATCATTGTTCCTAACCAGGTCCAGTCATCGTATGCCTATCATACATCTCTCTAGCCCTTATAAGTAAGGGTGTGCGGGGGTTATTAATTAAGTTGTAAAATCCGTCACACAAACACCTACGGGTATTAGCTGCAATGCCTATATGGTAGATCAGATTTGGTTGGTTCCAAATTGTTTGTGGCGAGAGTGATTTCTGTATTTGTAAATTTAAATATTCAACGTCTAGATTTGGTATGCCGTGGGATTTGTTTCGCAATGAGTCAAATATGATTAGTAGGTATTATGTAGGTCGTCACAGTTTTCATCATAGCGGAAATGGTCGTGCGACTACAAATATGGTATTGTGGTTCTGGAAAGAGATTCTAAGAGATGTTATTAACAAAAAAAAGCAAGTATATTTTTGGTTAATTGCCTCGATATCAGTTTTTTGTCAGTTCGTTTAGAATAGTCTTTTTTTAATGTGGTATTGTGGTTCTGGAAGGAGATTCTAAGAGACAATATACTGGTATTTACAAGCACAATAATAAAGAACTAGTAAATTGTTGGTTATTCGCCTCCATCTGTTTTTTTTGTTAGTTCGTACTTTAGAATAGTTTTTTTTTTACTGTTTACGTCAATTGTAGATTTAGTCAATAGTTCTTCATTACATAGTATAAAACAAAGTCGCTGTCGCTGTCTGTCCGTCCCTATGTATGCTTAAATCTTTAAAACTATGCAATGGATTTTGAAGAGGTTTTTTTTAATAGATAGAGTGATTCAAAATGAAGGTTCTTATGTAATACATGTACACCCGTGCGAAGCCGGGGCGGGTAGGTAGTATTAAAATAAGGTACATAGAGTAAGATTTTATTCATTTAAGATAGAGCGAGAAAAACTTCCCTGTTGGTCCTTTAAACAAATATTTTATTTTACATTTTTCATGTAATTTTGTGTGAATGTAAAACCATATAGCATCCATTCACAACAGAAAAAAAACATTTGAGAAACAGACACTTCAATTTTATTTATTTACTGGCTGTACACTCGACTTTGGACGCGTGGAATTTAACTTTATTTTTTGAAATAAAAGTAGCCTAAGTTACTCTTTATTACATCAGCTACCTGTCAAAAAGAGTCCCGTCAAAATAGGTCCGACCATTTCAGAGATTAGCTGGAACAAACAGCTGTCTGTATGTCAGACAAAAAAGTTATTTTGGTGTATGTACCATAATTTGCCTTTGCATGTAGTAAAAAACGGTTATTATATTTATATGTATAGATAAACTTATCAATTATAATATTTTTATTCTATTAAACTAGTAAGAAACAAACGTATGTTCGTTAACGTTTAGAACATAATCTATAGCATATGTTCTGCTGTAACTGTATTTCATTCTCCTACAACTGGTCGTGCCTGTCAATGACTGTATGACGTCACGGTTTTGAACCATCCATCACTGTGATGGTTTAATTGTAATATTATTCATGTTTAAAACTACGATATTATAGTGGTGTTAATAAGTGATGTTATATTACACTCAATGATTATGTCAGTGTCCAGTCTTCGCTCTACATTTAATTTGACGCGGTAACATATGGAGATAATCCACGATGAAGTTGAAATTATTTATGTTATTTTGCAATTGAAAGTGTATTTTTTTATTATTATTAAAGTGACGCCTAAATAGTAATAATGATAATAAATAACACTAGACAACTTACGTAGTCCCCTGGGGGCGTATTATGAACTCTTTAAAATCCAGTCAGTTTCCAGGCAGTTCAGTTTACGGCCTTAAACTGAATTGTTCTTTTTCGTATTATGAGGGTCCAAATTCAAACCGTATTCTGCCTGGATAGTTTGTCTCTGGCTGGTTAGTGGATTTTCTCGCGCTGCGTTCGGATACGCATACATTCGTTGCAACGTTAAGTTGAGTTTTTGTGTGTCACTTTTTGGACAAAATATTAATTAAATAAATGTAAATTAAATATAGAAAACAGTAATTAAGATACAATGGTAGAATTTGTGTAATATACAAAAATATTCCAGACAGTTTTATTGTCTTTTTTAATAATTCGGATTTATTTGTAAAAAACATTTTCATTGTAATATCCAAACGAACTTTGTGCATATACTTAAAATTCCGCGCAAAGTACAATTTGAAACTTAGCCTTTCCATTACTTTATACGCAAGTTAAATTTAATAATTCAATTATTGTGAAAAATATACCTAATGTAACGTAAGTATTCCTAACATTTTCTTAGTAATGTTTTTTTTAAAATGATGCAAATATTTAACTGTTTATATTTGTATATTTATCTAACTAAATTGTAGATCACGCACTGAAACCCCTCGCTAACGTCGTGTATCGTACCGGTAATTTAAAATTATATGGGATTTTTAAAATCCCATAGGGAAATGGCAAGTGGCTTTAATAAGTCCGCCCAAGAATACCATACCAATCGCTTGTGTGAGGACGTCGCTCAACAATTAAACTCCTTAGGAAAAGGGGGTTTTAAAGACTGGAAAGGATTGTCAAGTTTAAGTGTTATAAGGTAACCATCTGAATTTTAATTTATTTCATTTAATAGGAATCTCAGTAAAATCTGAAATACATGTATCTATGCAAATAAATTGAAGTATCTGTTTGTAATTTTGAAGTTCACCAGTTACAACAGCTTTTCAGTAAATGCATACATATATAAGGTAAGATAAATGACATTAAAAAAATAAAAATATTTGTCTGTCCGTTTGTTTGTTCTTGCTAATCTTTGAAACAGCTGGACCAAATTTGAGGATACTTTCACTGTCATATGTAATGAGTTGTGTAAAGGAGTAACAAGTTGCTTTTATTTGAGATATTTTATTTATTTTAACAAAAACTAGGTATGCCATATGGACAAAGTCATAGGTAATAACTAGTATATAATAAAATTATCATATCCCTTTAATTATAACTACCAATAAAAGACATAAATAATGTACCTATATCATTTATTATAAAAACAAATAATTAAAACATTGACCTATTAACAATATTATTATTTATAAATGTTTCAATTTCTTAGTTCCACAACTAAACAACATGGGTTTGTCTAGCAGCTAGACCTTCATTTAGTTCTCTATAAGAACTCAAAGTACATGTAGGCATCTAAATCTAGAAGCCCAATTGTGCTCTCAATGATATTCCATGTTCTTACAGTGTAATATGCTTCTTGTGGTCCTGGTATAGCATTTGAGATGGGAGTATACTTCTCCAAAGCATATCCTGGATCTCCTAAAAAAAAAAAAACATATTATATACTATAATATTAATATTTATTTACAAAAAGTATTATTTCATTAAAAACACAGCACAATAACTGTTGGTGCTGATAAATAACTATGTTTCTAAATTACTGAAGTTTAGAGCTTAGATGTAATGATGTTTGTAGTTTCATAATAAAATTTTGTGCTTACCAAGTAATCATAAGGATTTATTCCAGCTTAAGTCCTCTAGATGTTGCTTAATGCCTCTGCTTTGCCCAAATGTCATGAGTAGCTCCAGTTCCAGTTGGCATCCACACTTATAATCTCCATGTCAGCATTACTAACCTAAAATTTTTTTCCAGATTAATTACATAGATGAAGATTATTTGAAACATAAGAGAATAATTAATAGATAAATATTATTTGAAACATATGAGATTAATTACATGGATACAGATTATTTGAAACATATGTCTAAGTGTTATGGTCATTTAATATTTAAGTAAACAATTTATTGTTAGTATATAAGTAGCTTTAGAGATGTAAAATCATTAACATATTTTGCATGTCTAAAATCTTGTTTATTGTTAATTTATATAATTATATTAAAAAAAGATATTAAAAGTGCTTATATTATTAAACATGTCTTTTAATTTATATTTCACTTACCAATTATATATTTAATGAATGGTATTGTTTTCTACAGTAATATCTCTTCTTAATTTACAATGGGGTGGCATGTGTACAGTCAAATACAGCCCAATACACCCAGCATTCCAAATTCCAATTATAAAACCTAAAATATAATTAATTTAATTTAATTAATTGTCCTCGGAGGAAAGTGCCGGAGAGACTGCACATCATCAGACTGTTGCATACTTGTATACTTGCTTTCTAGGCTTTACTTGTATGCATACATTTTACCATATATATTATCACTATATCATATGGTATGGTACATGGTACTCATAGATGTATTTGCAACAATAACAGTTGCTAATTGTATAGAAATAGATACCTTTGAATATTTATTATCTATCCTTTACTCAGATGTCCTTGGAATTTTATATATGTATTTACTTTTGGATGTTGGGTAAATGCAATAAATCGGTTATTTGCCATTGGCTGTGCTAAAGAATGAACAGCAATATCACTAATAGGCCGTTGATAAATATGCCTGTAGCATAAATAATAATCCTACTAAAACCTGACATAGTCAGCTAGTGATTTAGTGAAATAATTACAATACATTATACCTTAGTTTCCACTGGTAGGTCTGTAAATTTCGATGATAACGGCATATGAGTTCGCACGCATATTACGCACCAAATCTTTATTTAGATTATAACGTTTTCTAAATTGTTCATTTTTATTGGATTGGTCGCGTAATCGCCGTCTTTTCACTTTCCTTACTTCTTTTTCGTAGGGTGCACACATTTCCAAAAACTCCAATACTTCGAGTTCATCACACATCATGATAATTAACACGAAACAAAAACAATCGAAATAACTGCACAAACATATTTTAAACATAATAAAAACTGACATAGAAATAGAAATAATAACCAAATTACAATAATGAAGCTATAAATTAGAAAACAATTCTATAAAAGCTAATATGAAGCCACCGTAAACTGAATTGTTTTTAAACGGTCTTTTTGACAGTTGTGTCCGATTAGATCTGTCAAATGAAACGCTCATAATACGAAATAGCCGGTCAGTTTTCGGGCAGAAGACGTTCAACTGTCACGTGACCGCTGACTGGCTGGCTAATAGCGTTCGTAATACGAAATCGCCAGGCAGTTCAGTTTAAGCCGTAAACTGAATGGGAATAAGAGTTCATAATACGGCCCCTGTAGTTACAAAGTAACTAGATCTTGTGTTATTGGTACCAGACAACTAATATAAATACTTATTTTTTATTGAAAATACATGCTTAATACACATGGAAAAATATGGCTGAATGGTTATGACAGATACAAAGAATCATACTAATGAATACAAATGTTTACACCGTGCGAGGAATCGAACCCGCGACCGTCGGAAGTAAGGCGGTGTGCTGAACCGTTAGACCACCGAAGTCGTCAAATTGTTGAGACAGAGGTAGCCCACGCAAACAACGTACAGTCTCAGAGAATTAGAAATAGATTTTTTAATATAAATAACTACTTGTTTATTTTAAAGTCGGTATCGATGCAACCAATATATCGATATGTCTAGAATGATGTCAGTCTATTTTAGTTCATCTCGCACAACAATAGAATAATTGACTTCGATAAAATGTCATTTGACGCATCGACGAGTCATTTGCACAGAATATATTTTATCATCTAACGATATTATAATATACTAGCTGAGCCCGCGGTTTTACTCGCGTGAAATTTATAGCCTATGTGTTATTCTGATATATAAGCTATATCACTGTAAAGTATTATCAAAATTCGTTTAGTAGTTTTTGCGTGAAAGGGTAACAAACATCCATCCATACTCACAAACTTTCACGTTTATAATATTAGTAAGATTTTCTAATAATATATATCTTATTATTTTATTTATTTAATTAAACTCTAATGCACAAATAAAGGTATTTATGGCGGTCGCAGAAAATAGAATCCCTCCTCCATTTCTTTAGCGTCTATTGTAAAATTATAATCTACAATGGCTGTAGACGAAATTGTCATTATAGAAGGCTTTTGTGGTTTGGTAGTAGTAATTACCAATTCTCCGCAGTGAATTAAGGGTCATTGCCTCCTCAAAGAGTTGCAACTCATGTCCAAGATTTTAAATATGGCATTGCTGCTCTTATTCAGACTTTTAGTATTTTTTTTTTAAATATATCCCCGGATTGGTGTTATCGTACAGTTACCGTCCTTTTTTCCCAGGATATGTTCTAGGTTTTGTAGTGTCCTAAACAACAGTACTGGGTTTTTAAATTAAAAAAATAATAATATGATTATTATAATTACCTCAATTCACCTATTTTCACTACATATTAATTTAATTTTTGTACTGCAACCTGTTTTTAAAATGAATTGTTCTGGTTATTACAACTTGAAATCCTGGTTTTTCAAATTGGGGCTTGGCAAATCTATGTTAGCAGACCACTACTACTTTTACAATTGGATATAATCTTTAAAGGATTGAAAACTTATATTCAGCATAGAGATAGGATTTTATTACTACATTTTGTAGACTATTTAATAATGTAGTGGAATATTTAAATTAAATAGGAATCAATAGGAAATATTTTTATATGAAATCATAGGTCTGGATATAGAGACCTTATATCTCTACATCCAGATTCATCTATAACTGCCTGCGACTTAAAACTTATCGACTCGTTCCTTAGCAACAAACATTACAACTTTACTATATTATTATGTATAAAATTATTCAAATTCAAATTCAAATTCAAAATATCTTTATTCATGTAGGTCTATTACAGACTCTTATGATATGTCAAATCTACCGTCAGTTCGGAATGATATCGAGATGAGAAGAACTGACAAGAAACTCAGCTCGTAATTTTTTCAAATAATAGTGGAACATGTTTATGATAAATACAGTTATTAAAATTCAAATTTGGGAGAATAGAGTGACCACCAGCATATGCTATCGCAAAGAACAAAAAATTTAATCAGTGTTCACAACCTGAACAGACCAGTCCCCACAAGCAGCACCCGTTCACGAGTATGACGTATGAGCCAGCCATCATTGTACTCAACCATATTTGAGGGAGCACATCGACCCGGCCCACCACGCCGCCACAAGTTTGAACTTTATAGCGAGCATGACTGTTTCAGGTTACTCCACTACGTCAATTATATTATTTACAGCATAGGCTGTACCGATCACAGTTTTCACCCATTACAATATTAAATTTACATTATTTAATTTACAATATGTCATTACAAAATTTATAATAAGTTTCTTTATTGTTATTACATTATCCATGTCAATGGGAAAAATTATATGCCTCATAACAAAAGTTAAAATTGTAATTAAGTCCACACATTGTAGTCATTTAAGTAGTCGTTTATTTTATAATAAGCTTTAGAGCAAAGTGTTTTTTTTACATGTATCTTAAATTTGGCTTCACTTAAATTTAAAACACTATCTGGCAATTTATTATAAAAACGTATACAATGTCCCATGAAAGATGTACTTACTTTTTTGAGACGATAACTAGGCATATTTAATTTATTTTTATTCCTTGTATTAAAAGCGTGTAAGTGACTATTTTTTGGAAATAAATTTAAGTTTTTGCGTACATACATAATATTTTCATATATATATTGAGAGGGAACAGTAAGAATACCTGTTTCTTTAAAGCGTTCTCTAAGAGATTCGCGACACGGTAAATTATATATTGAACGAATTGCTCTTTTTTGTAGTATAAAAATTGATTCTACATCAGCCGCTCTTCCCCACAATATAATACCATACGACATTATACTATGGAAGTAACTAAAATACACTAGTTTCGCTGTTGCAGTATCAGTTATCGAAATAAAATATAAGTGTATTTTCATGCTTTATAATATATTTCATATAAATTATTATTGATATTCGACTGCGCTCAATTCTAATTTACTTAATAGTTTTACATCAGTTTACATCATAGTATATAATCGAATGGTCACGATGATGTCCACGTGCTGCTCTCGACTGTATATTGTTGTGATCTTTTTGTGCGATTCCCACTAATGCTATATTTTAATTCTCGTATGACGTAAGACCGCTATCGGTATTTGTTCACTTCAGCCCACCGGGTGATGTCACCTTGTAAACTCATCGTATCGCCAAACAGGTTTTGCAACATTTTTTTTAACAACACAAAAGCAACGTTGCTATTTTTTTTTTTTACTTTTTCGGTGAGAGTACAAAAAAGTTTAGATAGTGTTTCATATATGAAGTATTAGCTGTGCTCGCTGTTTCATCCGCATTAAGCTTATAGCCTATGTGTTATTCAGATGTATAACTTCCATCCTTCATCCATACTCATACAATTTCGCGTTTATAATGTTAATAAGATAGGTAGATTGTGTTTTAGACTAGCGGTCTACTAGAAAGAAAACTGACATTATATATTTCTGACTAACTCTCGGATGAAGTTAACGCCAATAACAAACCAATAATTAGCAGGCTACCCGTATTACTGTTATCTTGACTATTTTCTTGTATCACAGCCCTTCAGACGAAACATAGCTTACTAAGCAAGCTGCTTTCTGAATCACAAAGCAACTTGCTTAGTAAGCTAAAAGGTGAGGCTGTAGTAGACTGTGGTCTAGTAGTTTAGCACACGGCCTTACACTTCCGATAGTCGGGGGTTTGTCTACTGGCACGGTGCTAACATATGTAATCCTATAGTATGAGTTTTATGTATATTATGTATGTATTTATATCGTTGTCTAGTACCCATAACAAAAGCTCTACTTAGCTTGGGACTAGATAGCGTTATATAACATGTATTGTATTATATTATTATACAAATGCTAAGATATCCATGCTGGTGACTTTTTACAATATACTTTGTTTTCTAATTATAAAATCTAAGGTCAACCGTAATACGAAACATATGTTTTTATACCTGTTCTATAGACAATTTAGAACGTTCCGGATATTTAAAGTGGTTCTTTATGACTAGTTTTTTTTATGTTTGTCTTGCCATTAGTCAATCATTTAGCGCTTTTTGGTCAAACAGCGTTGTTACATAAATTTGATCATCGTCCGGATTTGAGTGTCCACTGCGTAAATCGACCGCTTAAGGCGACGCATTGCAAATATTGACCTCAGATACCTTAACTTTTCTCAGCAATTACAAATCATTCGGGGCTGATATTTAGGTATTTCATTTTTCAGATCTTTGACATCATATTGACAGTTCTCGTTACATGATTGATTAACTTTTGTAGCAGAGAAAAAAATCTCAAAGATTGGTCTTATAAAATATATGTTTGATTCGTATAAGAAAACGGGACTGTTTTAAGACTCGAATTTTCCAATATACACTATACTAAATACCCACATAAATAGTACAATTCAGATGTATGTAATAACCAATAGTTTTTATTTTAAACAAGATAAACTGTTTTTCCGCATAAAAATCTCTTGCTCACAAGTTGTTTTGTATGAGAGTTAGAGCAAGTCAGTCAGTCCCCGGCCCCTGCCAACGTCGGACCTGTGCTTAGCGCGGAGAGCTCGCCTGAGAACGCGCGCTATCAAATCGTAAATTATTTCGTCATACACCCGCACCATATTATAGCGTACGCTATAATATGGTGCGGGTGACAGTTACTTATTTTACATTTAACAATTACTGTATTTAAGTTAATACAGTTAGTAATGATTTATTGTACATATTACGAATGTAATACTAAGTCATAATTTGTAAAGTAGTGACAATTAATTGTTAAAAATGATAAAAACTTTTAGTATTAATGTAAAGAAATGGTTAAGAAAA